AAAAAAATTGAATCAATAACTAATAACCTTCCAAAACAGAAAGCACCAGGCCCAGATGGGTTCACTAGTGAATTCTCCCAAACATTTAAGGAAGCAATTATATCAATTCTCTACAACCTTTCAAAAAATTTAAGTAGAGGGTGCCTGGGTGGCTCAGTTGGTTGGGTGACTGCCTTCGGCTCGGGTCATGATCCTGGAGTCCCGGGATTGAGTCCTGCATCAGGCTCCCTGCCTGGCGGGGAGTCTGCTTCTCCCTCTGACCCTCCCCAGTCTCATGCTCTCTCTTTCTATCTCATTCTCTCTCTCAAATAAATAAATAAATAAAATCTTTTTTAAAAAAAAAAAATTTAAGTAGAGAGAGTACTTAACTCATTCTACAAAACCAGCATTACCCTAATACCAAAACCAGACAAAGACATTACAAGAAAATGACAACAAAACAATAGCAAATTGAATCCAACAACGTATAAAAAGAATTATACACCTTTACCAAATGGGATTTATCCCAGGTATGCAAGGCTGCTTCAACATTCGAAAATCAATTAATGTAATCCATCATATTAGCAGACTTAAAAGGAAAAAAATTACATGACCATATAAATAAGTCAGAAAAACCATCTGACAAAATCCACCACCCACTTACAATAAAAACTCAGTTAAACTAAGAAAAGAAGGGAATTTCCTCAACTCGAATGAGAATAACTAAAAAACACTTAAAGGTAACATCTTACTTAATGATAAGAAAGCAGAAGCTTTCCCAGTAAGATCAGAAACAAGGCTCCTCTCACTCTCCTGTTCATCACCATACTGGAAATCCTAGTTAATACAATAAAACAAGAAAAGGAAATAAAAGGAATACAGATTGGTTGGGGAAAAAGAAATAAAACTGTTTTTGTTCACAAATGACATGATCATCTAGGTAGAAAATCCAGAAGGTTGACAAAAAAGGTTCTGGAACTAATAAGCTATTATAGCAAGGCTGCAGAAAATAAGTTTAATATACAAAAGTCAATCACTTTCCTATATACCATCAATGAACACGTGGATTTGAAGTTAAAAAGAACTGCAAGTTAAAAACACAATACTATGTGTATTATCACCCAAAAAAATGAAATGCCTAAGTATAAATTTCACAAAATATGTATAGGATCGGGCACGTGGCTGGCTTAGTCAGTAGAGCATACGACTCTTGAACTCGAGGCCATGTGTTCAAGCCCCACATTGGGCATAGCGCTCAAAAAAAGAAAAAAAGCCACAAACAAAAAAACATAGTACAAGATCTACATGAGGCAAATGATAAAACTCAGATAAAAGAAATTAAAGAGCTAAACAGATAAAGATGTGATACACACACACACACACACTCTGGAATATTACTCAGCCATAAAAAAGAATGAAATAAAACATAGTGGATGGAACTAAGAGCAAATTAAGCTAAGTGAAATAAGTCAGAGAAAGACAAATACCATATGATTTCACTCATAGGTGGAATTTAGGAAACAAAACTGATGAACATAGGGGAAGAGAAGGAAAAATAAAATAAGATAAAAACAGAGGGAGGCAAACCATAAGAAACTCTTAATTATATGGGTGCCTGGGTGGCTCAGTTGGTTAAGTGACTGCCTTCAGCTCAGGTCATGATCCTGGAGTCCCGGGATCGGGTCCCGCATCAGGCTCCCTGCTCGGCAGGGAGTCTGCTTCTCCCTCTGACCTTCCCCCCCCTCATGTACTCTCTCTCTCTCATTCTCTCTCTCAAATAAATAAATAAAATCTTTAAAAAAAAAAAAGAAAGAAAGAAACTCTTGACTATAGAAAACAAACTGAGGGCTGCCGGATGAGATGTGGGTGGGGGGGTGGGGTGATGGGTATTAAGGAGGGCACTTGATGTAACGAGCACTAGGTGTTACATGCAACTGATGAATCACTAAATTCTACCCCAAATAATATGTTAACTTGAATTTGAATAAAACCAAAAAAATAAAAAATAAAAAAGCTAAATAAATGGAAAGAGATTCCATGTTCATAGACACACTCAATATAGTCAAGTCAGCAGTTCCTCCCAACTTGATCTATAGATTCAATGCAACCACAATCAAAATCCCAGCAAGTTATTTGTGGATACTGATAAACTGATTCTGAGGTCATATGAAGAAGGAAAAGACCCAGAATAGCCAGCATCCAACACAATATTGAAGGAGGGAGAAGTACAAAGTTGGGGGGCTAACACTTCCCAACTTCAGCTTACTATAAAGTTAAAGTAACCAACACAGTGAGGTATTGGTGAAAGAATAGACAAGTAAGTCAATGGAACAGACTAGGGAGGCCAGAAATAGCCCCCCATAAATATAATCACCTGATCTTTGATAAAGGAGCAAAAGACAATACAAAAGAGCAAAGATCATCTTCTCAACAAATGGTACTGGAATGGCAGGACATCCACATGCAAAAACCCGAATCTAGACACACACCTTCCACCCTTCACAAAAAATAAATGGATCAAAATGGATAATAAACTGAAATGTAAAGCACTAAACTGTAAGACTCCTAAAAGAAATCACAGGAGAAAGCCTACATGACCTTAGGTATGGTAATGATTTTTTAAATACACCACCAAAGGCAAGATCCATGAAAGAAATAATCGATAGGCTGAACTTCATAAAAATAAACTGCTCTGTGAAAGACAGTATCAAGAGAATGAAGAGAGAAGCCACAGACTGGGAGAAAACATCTGCAAAAGCCACATCTGACAGACGGCTGCTCTTCAAAATATTCAAAAAAAAAAAAAAAACCCTCTTAAAACTTAAGAAAAAATCTAATTTAAAAACGGACCACAAGGGGCGCCTGAGTGACTCAGTCGGTTAAGCGGCCAACTCCTGATTTCAGCTCAGGTCATGATCTCAAGGTAGTGTGATCAGGGCCCACATGAGGCTCTCGGCTCCGCACTTAGAGCAGAAAGAGCCTGCTTGAGATTCTCTTTCTCCCTCTCCTTCTGTCCCTCCCCCCACTCATGTGCTAAGTAAATAAATAAAATCTTTAACAACAACAACAAAAATGGACCAAAGACCCTAACAGACACCTCACCAAAGAAAAAATACAGATGGCAATTAAGTGTATAAAAAGATGCTCCACACTGCATGTCATCGGGGAATTACAAATTAAGATAATGAGATACTACTATACACCTATTAGAACTGCCAAAATCCAGAAAACTGACATCAAATGGTGACAAGGAGGTAGAGCAACAGGAATTCTCATTCACTACTGCTTGGAATGCAAAATAGCTCAACTTCTTTAAAAGACAGTTTGGATGTTTTTTACCAATCTAAACATACTCCTACCATACGATTCAGCAACACACTCCTTGGTATCTACTCAAACCACCTGAAAACTTAAACACGAATGTTTATGGGAGCTTTATTCATAATTGCCAAAACTTGGAAACAACCAAGATGCCCTTTAGAGATGAATAGATAAATAATGGATGTCCGGTACACCCAGACAATGGAGTATTATTTAGCACTAAAAACAAATATGCTACCAAGCCATGAGAAGACATTAAGGAAACTTGAATACAAATTACTAAGTGAAAGTCAATGAGAAAAGGTTACATACAGTATGATTCCAACTATATGACATTCTGTACCAGGCAAAGCTATAGAGACAATAAAAAGATCAGAAGTTGCCAGAGGTTGGGGAGGGAGGGGAAGGATTAACAGAGCAGGGAATTTTTAGGCAATGAAAATACTGTATAATTCTATAATGGTACATATAGATCATTACACATTTGTCCAAACTCATAGAATAAGAAACACTAAAAATGAACCCTAACCTAATCCTATGGTCTTCAGATGATTATGATGTGTCAATGGTTTATAAATTGTAACAAATATATTACTCTTGTGGAGGGTGTTAATAGTGGGGGATGCAATGTATGCGTGGCAGCAGAGGTTATGTGGGAAATCTCTACACCTTCCTCTCAATCTTGTTTTGTTTTTTAAGATTTTATTGATTTATTTGACAGAGAGACACAGTGAGAGAGGGAACACAAGCAGGGGGAGTGGGAAAGGGAGAAGCAGGCTTCCCGCCCAGCAGGGAGCCCGATGTGGGGCTCGATCCCAGAACCCTGGGACGCATGACCTGAGCCGAAGGCAGACACTTAATGACTGAGCCACCCAGGCGCCCCACCTTCCTCTCAATTTTGCTGTGAACCTAAAACTTCTCTTAAAAAAAGTCTTTGATTAAAATATAATGCGAGTTCAAATAAATAAGACAACAGCACATCGTGCTATTTTAACATGTAAGAACTTTCAGCTTATTTTTTAGTCAACTTCTGGATATTAGCTGTCCACAGGGCATTAAATTCTTAAACAGATATAAATAAGTTTACTTTGAATCCCTTCTGTGCCTCATTTGTTTCAGTTATGATTTGAAAGTATTTTCTTTTCCCTTCCCCAATTAATCAAGAGTTCTCTCTATATGTTACCAAGGAACAGTCACGCATTATCAACAAAATCCTAAACCTAACTTTAAAACTTTAAATCTAAATGAGCAAAAGGTCCCCATTCTGAAAAACCATCTATTTTGCCTCTAATTCTAAATCCAAACCCAACTCATATTCATTACAAAAAAATAAACTGTCACTTCACAAAATGTAAAAGCAACTGTGGTATATTTGATAGTGGCTTACATTTATCAGTATCTCAAGTCAGTAGTCCACACAACCAATATATTAAATCCAGTATTTCCTGGGCGCCTGGTTGGCTCAGTTGGTTAAGCAACTGCCTTCGGCTCAGGTCATGATCCTGGAGTCCCGGGATCGAGTCCCACATCGGGCTCCCTGCTCAGCAGGAAATCTGCTTCTCCCTCTGACCCCCTTCCCTCTCGTGCTCTCTCTCTCTCATTCTCTCTCAAATAAATTCTTTAAAAAATAAATAAATAAAAATAAATAAATAAATCCAGTATTTCCTTTTATCTCTAAGAACAGAAAGGCTATTACCTACCTTTCAGAAACCTCTTGTTTCAGTTGAGGAACTTCACCAAGGGATGAATCAATATCCATGAAACCAAGAAAGTCCCGTTTTATACTGAGAGAAGGCTTCTCCAAACACTTGCCTGACGTTTCATGACCCCTCGATAAAGGATCTGAATCAGTTAGCTGTATCTCTGACCCCTCACCTTCTGTAAGACGGACCCGCTGACCAGGAGAACTGGGAACACTATTCCCTTCCTGGTCAGAGCTGTTCTTTTGCTTTCCATCTCTTTGGGGCTTACTATTCAGCCCATCATCCCGGAAGCCCTTAGCAAATGGATTATAATCTATTTTCAGCTGGGTAATCTGAATGTTCTGGTAAGCTGTTACTGCAAAGAATTCAGTCTGTGGAAAGGTAAAAGTGTGGACACCAGGGCCATTTAACTGTATCACCTCAGTAGCCTTTTCTGCAGGCACCAAATGAAGCCTCGGCAGGTACCGATGCATAGAGTGCAAGATGATATGCCCTTCTTGGTCCAGTGTATTGTTGGTAAGTTTGAGTTTATAGAAAGAAACTGGTTGATGCATCCAATAATGACCTGTGGAAGGAGATTCTGGATGAATAAAAACCCTCCCCAAAACATGGGGCTCAGCCTTCCCACTTGGTTCCCACCAGCGACCATTCCACTTATAACGATGGTTATCCACAGGAGATATATCCATGACAAGGATATACTTCATATTTGAATCTAAACCTGTTATCCAGTAACGACAATATGGAAACATGCGTCTTCCCTGCTTGGTCAGAATCATCTCTGTGCTTCGATGATAGAATTCATTCCACATACTATTGTTATCCAGGGTGACAGTGATTCCTCCCACAGTACAATCAGCTGGAAGACAAATCTTCCCTTTAGATTTTCCTGGTGATGACACACTGCTAGCCAAAGCACAGGCATCCCGATTAGTAACCAAAATTCCTTGATCAGTTTTGCCATTTCCTGGCTGTTTGAGGATGACAAAAAAGGTAGGTGCTGCTCCTGCCATTGTTCCACCATCTTGATTAGCCAATATAATCTGCTGTTTCTCCTCCATGATTCCAGTGGGAAACTCCGTCATAAGATAACTGTAGTCACCACATAGTCACAGTGGCCTTCCCAGCCTGCAACAAAAAACCAAACCCTTTTAATCAAGTGAATGTTTGTTTTGTTATAAATACAAGAATGATTATGTTATCCCCAAAATATATTCCTCAACTCTTTGAAGACTTTGCTTCTACCTTTCTCTCATCACTGTTAAGGATATTCACTCCAGAATATTTAATATATTTTAAAATTCATTTTAGGATGGAATCTGGGTGGCTCAGTCTGTTAAGCAGCCGACTCTTATTTCAGCTCAGGTCATGATCTCCGGGTCATGAGATCAAGCCCCAAGCCAGATTGCTTGGGATTCTCTCTCTCCCTCTGCTCCTCCCCCTGCATTCTTTCCCATAAATAAATAAATAAAAATTTCATTTTAATCTAATTACAGTTGACCCCTGAACAACTCAGGGGTTATTAGAACCATAGACCTCCCCTCCCTGCACACACAGGTAAAATCCACATGTAACTTTTGACTCCTCAACAACTTAATTACTAATAGTCTACTGCTAATGGAAGGCTTACCATAATATAAACAGCTGATTAATATATTTTGGATGCTATATGCATGATATACTGTACTCCTACAGTAAAGAAAAACTCAGAAAACCCTAAAAAAGAAAACATATTTGCAGTACTGTACTGTATCAAAAAATGGATAAAAATAGGAAAAGCAAACACCTATGAAAATGTACAAGTCAGAATAAGAAAAATGCAAATTAAAACCATTTTGACACTGTCTTTCGCCCTATCACACTGGCAAAAATCGAAACTTGGTAGAGGTGTTGGAAAGGTTTTAAGTCAACCAGCATTCTCATCTAACAAGATGCTGAGACTATAAAACAACAGAATCTCTATGACAGAGGGCAACATGAAAATATCATTAGTATAAATGCATATATCCTATGAAACATCAGTTCTTCTAAGACCTTATCTTAAAAATGTACATGCACGCACACACATCCATGATAAGTGATGCATACAAGATTCTTCCCTGGGGTTGCCTGGGTGGCTCAGTCGTTAAGCATCTGCCTTCGGCTCAGGTCATGATTCCAGGGTCCTGGGATCGAGCCCCGCATCGAGCTCCCTGCTCAGCGGGAAGCCTGCTTCTCCCTCTCCCACTCCCCCTGCTTGTGTTCCCTCTCTTGCTGTGTCTCTCTCTGTCAATTAATAAATAAAATCTTTAAAAAAAAAAAATTCTTCCCTGTATTTCCCTGTACAACAGCAAAAGACTTTGGGGGTGTAGGAGAATCCATCAAGAAAGACTGGTTAAATAAATGGTGCTACATCCATAGAACGGAATATTCTACAGCTAAAACAGAGAATGTATAAATTTTATGGACTCATACTTTACAAGATATATCAAAGGCAAAATGTTCCAAAGAGTGATAGATTACACTACACTTCTTTATAAAGTTAAAAAGCCAAAGAAAGAAATATGTATTTGCCTGACATATATAAACTATTTATATATATATTTTTAAAGATTTTATTTATTTGACAGAGAGATAGAGAGCACAAGCAGGCAGAAAGGCAGGCAGAGGGAGAGGGAGAAGCAGGCTCTCCGCTGAGCAGGGAGCCTGATGCAGGACTCGATCCCAGGACTCTGGGATCATGACCTGAGCAGAAGGCAGCCGCTTAACCAAGTGAGCTACCCAGGCTCCCCTAGACTATTTATAAAGATAGAAAAGGAACTAGAAGTGTTGGCTGTATTGAGGGAAAACTGGGAGAATGGGAAAACACGTTCTAAATTTTTTACCTTGTGAACACACAACCTATTCAAAAAAGGGTTAAAATTGGTTAACTTTTTTTTAAAGATTTTATGTATTTATTTGACAGAGAGAGAGAGACAGCGAGAGAGGGAACACAAGCAGGGGGAGTGGGAGAGGGAGAAGCAGGCTTCCCCCCCGAGGAGGGAGCCCGATGCGGGACTCAATCCCAGGGGGATCATGACCTGAGCCAAAGGCAGATGCTTAACGACTGAGCCACCCAGGCGCCCGAAATTGGTTAATTTTTTTAAAGTTATAATGAAAAATCCCACATACATTGTATGATTTCATTTATATGTAATGTCCAAAATAAGTAAATCTGTAGAGACAGGAAACAGATTAGTGGTTGCCAGGAGGAGAAAGGGATAACTGGGACAACTGCTAACGGGTATGGATGAGGTTTCTTTTGGGGGTGACAGAAATGTTCAGGAACTAAAAACCAGTGAAGTGTACTCTTAAAAATGGTAAATTTTATGTTATGTGATTTATATCTCAATAAAAAGTTATAAAGAAATCTCAGGTTGTTATATTCAACTGATGTGTTCAATTACCTAAATATTCTACAAGATATAAAGTTATCCCCAATTAGCTTTTACACAAAAAGGAAGATGCTACATCACTATTCCTGTTTAAGTGGGTCAGTAATTTTGATTAATCAAATCCATCTTTTATTGGTTCTCATTTTAATTAAAAAGTCTAATTTTATCTTTCATCAGAGCTACTGACAAGTAGCAAAATCATATGATCTGAACCTTACCTCTTTTTAGAGAACTGACCTCATGACCAAAAAAAGTTCCAAAACTTAAAATATTCACAATTAGCCTGAGGATAATAGATATTTTAAAAGTCAAGACTGCAAAAAAGTTTGGCTACTGTTTCCTATCATGGCTAGGCATAAAAATAGAAATCTACTTCCTTACACTAAAGCATTAATACCCAGGAAAGATGAAAAAAAAAACAATCTCTTCTCCGATTTGGAGCTTGCTTTTAAGAGATAAAATTTAGGGTGATTCTTTCCAAAAGCTGCTTCACGCTTAAGGCAATTAAGCTTACTGTTTCCTAAAACTAACAAGTTTAGGCAACACCTATCAGAGATTAATAAAGCAAAATTTAAACAGACTAAGAAATCAAAATTAAGGTGCAACTGGGTGGCTCAGTGGGTTAAGTATCTACCCTCCGCTCAGGTCATGATTTCAGAGTCCTGGGATCAAGCCCCATTCCGGGATCCCTGCTCAGCGGGGAGCCTGCTTCTCCCTCTCCCTACCGCTCCCCCCTGCTTGTGCTCTCTCCCTCGCTTGCTCTCTTTCTCTCTCAAATAAATAAAATCTTTAAAAAAAAATCAAAATTAAAGCAAATGTAAAAATAAATAGTAAAGCTTAGAGAGTTCACAAAAACTAGTACCTCTACAACGGCATATAACTCAAAGAACGCAAAATCCTGTACTTAGTTCATAAAGTTCAAAATTTTTCTCACAAACCACCAACTATTTCTGCAAGCAATTACGTAAAATATTCTTTTTAAGTACATTTAAATAGGACAGCTTGGTGGCTCAGTGGTTAAGCATCTGCCTTCTGCTCAGGTCATGATCCCAGGGTCCTGGGATCAAGTCCCTAAAAGGATCCCTGCTCAGCGGGGAGTCTGCTTCTCCCTCTGCCTCCCCCCCCTCTCTCATGAATAGATAAATAAAATCTTTAAAAAAAAAAAAAAAAGTACATTTAAATATAACCAAGGTGGCAAAGAACTACCTGAAAAAAATTTTAGATATTCCAAACCAATGAATACATCAAAGGGTTCAAAATTTCTTAATCATTATCTTCTATAATATTAAAATCTTGATTTTCAGATTAGAGATAAACTAGAGCAAAGAAGTTTTAATCAATGCTTTAAAAAGCACTCTTAAGAGCAACCTAGGTGGCTCAGTCCCAGTCCCTCAAGCGTCTGACTTGATTTCAGCTCAGGTCAGGATCTCAGGTTTGTCAGACAGAGCCCAAGAGGCTTCCTGCTGGACATGGAGCCTGCCTAAGATTCTCCCTCTCCCTGTGCACCACCCCCTCCTAAATAAGAGGCACTCTCAAAAATCTATGAAATGTCAAAGATTCAACTGACAGAAATCCCATTTAGTGTTATAGAATGCACTGAGTAAATTTTATGCTAACTTCATACATACATATTTCAAATTTTTCTTTTTGCCTAAACAAAAAAATTAAGTGCAGAAAAGTCAGCCTGTTCTATTTGAACTCTGCACAGATAAGAAATATAATATAAAAACAATGTAGGGACACCTGGCTGGCTCAGTCGGTTAAGCATCTGCCTTCAGCTCAGGTCATGATCCCAGGGTCCTGGGATCGAGTCCCACATCGGGCTCCTTGCTTGGCGGAGAGCCTGCTTCTCCCTCTACCTGCTCTGCCTGCTGCTCCCCCTGCTTGTGCTCTCTCTCTCTCTCTGACAAAAAAATAAAAAAAAATCTTTAAAAAAATAAAAAAGATGTCAACTTTAAAAAAACAACAATGTAAAAATGTGTATTAAGACAGGAAAAAGAACTTTCAGACTTAAGATTTGTGTAAGGTCTTTTTTAAAAAACCCCTCCAAACTATTCCATGAGTTGATGAAAGTGCATAAAACCAAAAACCTAACTTATGACCAAAACAATCTCTACTTCTTGAACTATATACTCCTACTAGTATAGAAACAAGAAATTGAGTTCTTATTCCATAATCTGTAAGCAGAGTCTACTATAAGCATGCCTACACTTCTGGGATCTATATAGGATCTTACAATAAGAGGACAGTCAATTCAGCATATTCAGCTACTTCAGAAACACAAACAACACTCAAAAGTCAAAGGCTTTGGGGCGCCTGGGTGGCTCAGTTGGTTAAGCGACTGCCTTTGGCTCGGGTCATGATCCTGGAGTCCCAGGATCAAGTCCCACATCGGGCTCTCTGCTCAGCAGGGAGTCTGCTTCTCCCTCTGACCCTCTTCCCTCTCATGCTAGCTCTCATTCTCTCTCTCTCTCAAATAAATAAATAAATAAAAAGTCAAAGGCTTTAATCAACTGCAAAAATCCAATGTACTTTAGGAAGGGTTAGGTTACTCATGAAGAAATAAATCTATTCCCAGCAAGATACTTAAAAATACCTTGTATTTGGCTCTCTAAAAGCTTTAAGGAAGACCACAGTTTTGGTACTTACAGCTTAAAATTTTAAAAATCTCGGTTCAGCTTTTCAGTATCAAGCATTTATCTATATAATTATAATAATGAGCCAAGGAAGTAAGTTTACTAGTCGATGGTAAATAACTGACATTCCAAAAAAATCCCATCAGAACACACACACACATACACACACACACACATACATACACACACAGGCTTTGAGAGAGAATGCTGTTTTCAGATAAATAATGTGGCAAGTGCCATAAATTGTTACAATTTCAGAGTCCCTATTCTAAATGTCTTTTCACCAATGACCTCTTTGGGAAATGTTTAACTACTAAAGCCATGACCCTCATACAACTTACAAAATACACTATTTAGTTTACTAGGTAGTTACCTAATTCAATGATTCATGTACTGCTCCCTGCCCCCCCAACTTCCCCCTCCAAAAAAGCGCCCAATCAAAATAACTACTTTAAAAACACAAAATACGGGGCACCTGGGTGGCTCAGTCGTTAAGCTTCTGCCTTTGGCTCAGGTCATGATCCCAGGGTCCTGGGATTGAGCCCCACATCAGGCTCCCTGCTCCGTGGGAAGCCTGCTTCTCCCTCTCCCACTCCCCCTGCTTGTGTTCCCTCTCTCGCTATGTCTTTCTCTGTCAAATAAATAAAATCTTTTTAAAAATAAACAAACACACAAAATATTCATATGCTGGTCAACCTATTCTGAATGTTTCCAACGTTGCTAAAAATAACGGTAACCTTTCATATCACAAATGCATTACGGTATGGTAGGCACCAAGATGTTAGTTTGTTCCTTAATATAATCATTCGCTACAAAAAATAAACACTCACTACAAAAATATGGTTTAAGTTAAATTAAGTTTCTGAAACACAAATTTTAAGAGAATGGGTTCATTCGAGTGTCGGTATTTACCAATATACAATGGGCCCAGAAATTCAAAAAATCTTAAGAAAAACAGAATTTGGGGGGCACCTGGGTGGCTCAGCCTTAGTTAAGCGTCTGCCTTCGGCTCAGGTCATGATCCCAGTTCTGGGATCGAGCCCCGCGTCAGGGCTCCCTCTCCCTCTGCCCCTCCCCCTGCTGTGTGCGCTGTCAATTAAATTAATTAATTAAAAATATTTTTAAAAAAAAAGAAAAACAATGTGGATATAATCAGAAAACATGACAACAAATGGCAAAAACAGTAAAATAGCCAAACACCCAATTCTTAATCATTTGGTTGATTTTCGTAATTAAGTGATACATGCTATTAGTAAGCACTTACTTTAGACCAGATAACATCCTGAGCATTTATAATCACCACAATCCTGTAAAGTAAATCTCAAAATACTACCTGAAATACGTTAGGTTTTAAGGCACAGAAGTGCATTTGCCTAAGATATTAAGCCCCATCCTTTCTCTTCCCAGATAGCACTAGTTAATACTAACTCCAGGAACATTTTCTATTCGTAGGAATGGTCCCTTAACTACAACTTGAGATAATCAAGCTCTCAGGTCCCAGCAGTTGCACAAGAAGAATTTGAAGAACTTTTATGGCAGAAACAGACAATAATCCAACAGCCACTCTACCCTAGAGTAAGTATGGCAAAGTACCCAGGGCACGGAATTTCCTCAAGTCCTAAGCATGTGTTTTTTGTTAGGTGAACGCAACCCACTCTACGCACACAACTGCTGGAAACATAACCATATGGAAGCAAGAAGCACCAGCACTGATCCCGTATCCTTGTAAGCGAAAAGGCCTCCTGCTAGTTCCTACTAGTCCCCGGGAAGAGCAGTCGCTGTCGACTATCAAGGGCCCAAAATCACCGCTTTTTAACTGCAGAGGCTAGCTGACCGACAACCACGTGAAAAAATGCCGCAAGGAAAGCTCTTCCGGAGAAGAGGAGTCCCGACAGATCACGTGCCGTCGGCCGGAACCTGCCGAACGCTCGGCGGGATCCAGTCGCATTCTGTTACCGTGGAGACTACAGACCTAGCCACCCGGCCCTCTCCGGCCAGCCCCCTTCCCAGCAATCGTCACGCCGCCTCCAGGCACTTTCCCTGCAGCCTAGCCGCGGCGTCGTGCCCAAAAAGGAGAGCAGGCAGTATTTGCCAGCGATTACGCCGCAGAAGCCTGAGAACCTTCACATCACCCACCGGGGGCGCGCGGGTGGGCTCGAGAGTTCTCTTGATCCACGTGTCTGCTCCAGCGACGCGAACCCTGAGGGTGGTCTTCTCTCAGAGAAAGCTGTACTTTGGTCACTCACGTTGTTCTGCCATCAGTCACCCCTCCTTTAAGACCTCCTTCACCCCTCCCAGTTTGCACCCTCCCCAGGAGGAGGCATCCCCAGGGTTCCAAAAGCAAAGCAAAAATCTTCACAGGAAGACATTACCACTTTCCACTCTCAACCCAGTTTGAAACGATCTCTTAACTTCTCCATACTCTTCGCACATAGATCCCTCAACTCTGGTTACTGGTGTTCGAATAGATTTAGTTATATCCCAGACGCACCTACCACTGAGGACAGAGACCTACTTGACAATTTAACAGACGAGGGAAACCTCATAAACAGAGAACTAGCCAAAGGCTGCCCACAGAGGAAAACAGAAAATAACACCTGCTCTTCCCACCTGTTTTCCCCGCCCTCATTTCTGCACTTACTAGCCACCGGTCCTTTGTTTACCAAGTTCCCACTCCTGTACGGCTCACTTCCTCGCCCCCCTTTATTAAACTCGCACACGGTCCTGCCTCAAACAACTTGCCCGGAAATTACATGCTAAAAGAGACGTTTACACAGGTGTCAAAACGCTACACACAGCTCCTTAAAAAGCGACGTCAGCACCGTTTCCCTCAGAGTTTTGGAACCCCGAGACCTGAGCTCTGAAATGCAAAGCGCACAAGCACAGCTCTCGACCTAAAGCCCCGGGCCGTGCTGAAAGTCATCACGCGGATCGTACCATGCGGTGCGGCACCCCACGCACGCGAGGGCAGAGCCGCGCCAAGGGCGCTTCTCACCCCGCCCGCCTCGTGGCTTCTCCCTCTGGCGTCGATGTTCCCAGTTAGTTCGCTGCGCGACGCGGAAGTGAGGCCGGGGACGCGCGCGAGGTGACATGCGCAGCCTCGCTCAGGGGGCCACAGGCGCGCGCCAAAGGCAGCCCCGCTCAAGGCCCGGCCTGGCCGGGGCGTGCGAAGATCGCACAGCAGAACGCTTCTCACGCTGTTCAAATCCACAAGCACTTCAAACTCTCAAAAAACTCTAATCGGGCCAGTACTAAAGCGACGCCCTCCACCCAGGCCCGAGAGTTACCGTGCGGGGCGTGGTCGGCCTCACCCGGAGTCCTTCACATCCCGCTGGGGGCGGGTTATTCTGTTCGGTTCGCACACCGTGTGTCCGCTCCAGCTGAAGAGCCTGCGCGCGCACCGGACGTCCACGTCACCGCGCACGCGCTCCTACCCGCTCAGAGTCCGCCGCGCAAGCGCAAAAGGAGGCGCGAGCAGCACCTCCCTCGCCCCTCCCCCAACATCAGGAGGCCAAACGGCCCCGGAGCAGCGACAAGACCCTTGGGACCCGCCCCTGGAGCTCAAGCCGCTGCTTTTCCGGGTCCAAGAAACCGATAAAAGCCTAATGAAGCTTCCAGAATCAAGAACGGCGAGGGAGGAAGAAGGCACCCCAATTCCCTCAGCCTCGCACACGAAGGCTTCGTGAAAACTGTGAAACCTTTGCCCGCAGGCTTTCTCAACTGTGCCCTGCACGGTTCCCCTCGGGCTTCTCAGCGGCCCCGCCCCTGCCGCACCCAGTCCCACCCACATCTGGTTCCACAGCCCCGGGGGCTTCACCAGCTCGTCAAATGAATCCGAGATCTTCTCCCCAAGGTGCTGTAGGTTTGGATAGCGCCAGACCGTCGGGAAACCTTGAAGAAAAGACTTTGAGAGACGGGTGGTCGAGTCTGCAACATCCACGATCGAAGAACACTAGGAAAATAGGAAGGAGACCGAAAACTCCACTACCAAGTAGGAAGGGTAGAAGAGTTGCCACTAACTTGCCTGACAAAGATGAAAGATGTCCTAATAAGACAGTAAACCGTGGAAACAAGAATTTTTTGCACGACGGAGTATTATCTAAGCTTTAATGCCTTGATCCTGTTTTGAATTTTTGTTTGTTCAAGATATTTAAGCTATGAAGTGCAAAGAAAAAATTGCTTAATATTATGTCAGGCAGCTGCTGAACAAGTTAACGAACAGTATTTCTCCCAACCAAACATCAAAAATTATTATTCTTCCCTACCCCTTACCAGTTGCTCCTTCTTCTGAGCTGCTAACACTCAAGTAGTAAAAAGGGAGAGTTGTTTAAAATGAGAAAGAAGAGGCAAAATAGAAAGAGCAGAAATTGTGGTCCATGTTTCCAAAGTGTATTCTTTCACTCTTACAAGAATTAGCAAGTACTGAGAAGTATTAATTGCTAGGTGACCTAATACAAAACACTATGAAGAAGGAGAATGAGGGGGTTGAAAGAAAGGAGCCAAGAGGAAGAGGCTTATCCAACAGAATTGACCAGAGCTGGACGGGATATTAGGAAGACGGGTCTTGTTTCCCTTTGCTCTGCTCTTCCTCTGCCACACCACGGGAAGAAACTGCTGGAATTAGTATGGACTGGATAATATTAGGCTAAAGATTAGACTTCTGAAGTTGCTCTGAAACCCCCAAGCAGGCACTGTCAACAAGAGCATCACCAAGTGCAACAAATGAATAATACCCAAAATCCTAGGCAAAACTGACAAACACCAGTTTCTTTTTTTTTTTTTTTTTTAAGATTTTATTTTCGAAAGAGAGAGACAGTGACAGAGAGAGCACAGGCAGAGAGGAGAGGGAGAAGCAGGCTCCCACTAAGCAGGGAGCCCGATGTGGGACTCAATCCCAGGACCCTGGGATCATGACCTGAGCCAAAGGCAGATGCCCAACCGACTGAGCCACCCAGGCGCCCCAAAACACCAGTTTACACCTTCCTCCTCTTCCCTGACCCCAAAAACCTCTTTTCCTGCCTTGTCAAAATCTCCTACCTCTTCCAAGAATGCTTTCTTCTCAAGGGTCTAAGGTTTCCTCATACAAAATTAAAAACAGAAATGTGTTGACCTAGCATTAAAGCATCTGATTCTAAGATGTAAATGACTGATGACTGGTTAACAACCATACCGAGTGGTAGCTGCATCCCAAACGAGACAAGTTAACATAAAATCTCTCATTGGAGAATCTCAGAGGACACCTTGGAGGACAGGGAGAGTGGAGATTTTCTTTTGCTACTCTTCCCCTACACCAAGCAAACATGAAATGCCAGATCTTTTAGAACCACCACCAGGGGCACCTGGGTGGCACAGTTGGTTAAGTGTGGGACTCTTGATTTCCACTCAAGTCATGATCTCAGGATGGTGAGTTCGAGCCCCGCATCTAGCTCTGTGTTCAACACAGAGTCTGCTTGAGATTCTCTCTCTCCCTCCCTTGGCCCCTCCCCCATCTTGCTTTCTCTAAAATAGTTTAAAAATAAATAAAAGGCATCCTTATATAACCCAAGTTTTTAAAATGCCAAACTAACTGCTAAAGCTGACACTCCTGCATTTCACCTATTAGAATTCTCTCATTTCAGGGGCGCCTCGGTGGCTCAGTCCGTTAGGTATCCGACTCCTGGTTTCAGCTCAGGTCATGATCTCCGGGTCCTGGGATGGAGCCCAAGTAGGGCTCTGGTTCAGCGTAGAGTCACTTGGAGATTACCTCCCTCTCCCTCTGCTCCTCCCCCTGCTCATGCGTGCATGCGCTCTCACTCTCTTAATCTTAAAAAAAAAAAAGAAAAAAATTCTCTCATTGCAGTTAGCATAGCTAAACCCTGCTCATCAGCCTAACATAAAAATCTTTCCCTTGGTTTCCCTTGTTTGAGCTTTCAAAGATATTTTACTAAATTTAAGAAAGGTGAGGGGTGCCTGGGTGGTTCAGTCGTTAAGCATCTGCCTTCAGCTCAGGTCCTGAACCCGGGGTCCTGGGATCAAGCCCCGCATCAGGCTCCCTGCTCAGCATGAAACCTGCTTGTCCCTCTCCCCCACTTGTGTTCCCTCTCTTGCTGTGTCTCTCTGTCAAATAAATAAAATCTTTAAAAAGAAAAGAGAGAGAGGTAGGGATAGAGAATGCATGGAATATAAACACAATTTTGATCCAAGATTGCTCTATAAACACATAGTCCCTATTCCACTTACATGCACACTTTTTCCTATTCAATATTTGAATGCCTTGTATGTGCTGAGGATAGCGCAAAGACTGGCACTTCTTTCACTGTTCAGATGTCTACACTAGAATTCTGAAAGTTGGCACAACTTAACAGAATCCACCAACAAAACAAACTATATTCCTTATCCAATCTACTCAGATCCCACCTACTCAGTTGCAATATCTACAGTAGTGACATACCTCTCTCAAGTGATTAAAATCTTTGGTCTTGGGGGCGCCTGGGTGGCTCAGTTGGTTAAGCGACTGCCTTCGGCTCAGGTCATGATCCTGGAGTCCCGGGATCGAGTCCCACATCGGGCTCCCTGC